GCCTTTAACGACTTCTCTTCAGCACTAAGTAGCCATGGTCTGAAGATCGCAGATGCTGGGTTTGACTTACTTAACCACCTGCGATAAGAGTACGAATGGTGTTGCAGAAATCGGGACTCGAAGCCGTGAGTTCGTTGGCTAGAAGTTAAACGCACTGCTGACAACTGCGCCACGGGCACACACGAAGAATGCTGGAATGCTGCTGAACACCTCGCAGCGGCGTCATGTAGCGGCACGAGATGATCAAACCACACGTACACTCCTTGTGGCAAATTATTAGTTATTTGTATACAGCTCGCTGCATAATGGCAGTCTGAGAATTTTAAGCGGTTATTTCACAGTAGTTCAGTTGAAATTTTCAAATCGGCGCTCGGAGCGAGTCTAAAAACCCAACCTCCCCCACCTTTGCGTATTAATCTTCGATGAAGTTAAGAAAGGACTACCGGAGGGGAAACTCGGTTTTAGCTCTCAAAATGGATGATCGAAAATGAAATGATTCAATGCTTCTATGGAATTGTAACCGAATTTGGCCAAGCATTTTTTTTAACAGAAAAAGGGCGAAAATTCAAATTAGTGACACCATACGGACTTCGACCAATCGACATTGAATTACGTTTGGACAAAATTTAAAATCTAGTCAAGCTACTACTTATAATCCAAGGATTTTATTTCGAACGACTGTCGTAAATATCAATTTTTTCCTTGTGATACTGGAAGGGCGATTTTTGGCTTATTAGCCGTCCTCAGCCACCCATACTCGAGCTCAAATATCTCAAAACCTGCGAATCCAACCTACAATCCTAAGTGGATCCGGAGGTCTAAGCAGAGGGTCAGTGGGTTTTTGAAGTCTGCCGTAAGATATCGAAATGAACGTTTTCAGTACAATGCACTAGATCGTTCGCGGATCTGTGTAATTCTCAATAACTCGTCGCTTTTTTATGAAAACATCTATACAATATAGCATATATTGCAACCGGAGGTCCGAAGAATCTCTGCAACCTTGTCTTGGCGAGGCTCTTTTAGGCTTCTTTGGCAAAACATGCCGTATATTAGGGCATCTACTTGGAGCGCTGTTATTGATTGGTTGATTGTCAATGCGATGGCGATTGGTGAAAACAGCAGAGCCAACCCACACGCACGATTATCGTCGTGTGGGCGCACTGGAAGATGCTGCAAATGACTATGGGAATTTGCCAAAAACGGTCGTCAGCCATCAAGCTACTTAAAGATCCAACAGGCGACGTGCCCGCACGTCGGCCTGGTGATCTAGGGGTATGATACTCGCTTAGGGTGCGAGTGGTCCCGGGTTCAAATCCCGGCCAGGCCCGCGGTTTTTCGGACACCTTGAAACGGTTTTATCAGGGTAGGCCTGAAACAATGTGAAACTAAGTCCCCTCGAAAGATGTCGGATTAGATTACAACGAGGTTTGCGTTATATTTATCATACTGAGTCCCAAGTTGTCTGAGATACGCTTCAGCATGTGCATACTAAGCCTATCGAAATAATGTTGTCGGGGCATTGCGACTGACACTCCGTTTGTTGCAAAACCGTGGAAAAAATCATTAAGAAAGCGTTGAGGCAGTTCCTCGAGCAGAACCACCTTTCCGATGCCCAACACGGTTTTCAAAGTGGTAGATCCTGTCTTACGAATTTGCTCTTCTCACCTGATCGCTGAACCATAGCACGTAACGAGGACAAATGGTGCATGTTATCTACATTGACTTCAAAAAGGCGTTAGACACTGTCCCTCACCAACGCCTCCTGCATAAGCTGCGCAGCGCAGGCGTTCGCGGGACCCGCTTCCTATGGATCCAAAACTTGTTGACGGGATAGTACCAAAGAGTACAATTCAGTCGCCAGCAGTCCTCGGGGTTGCCTGTGGTGAGTGGCGTCCCACAGGGCTCAGTTTTAGGTCCCTTATTGCTCCTTGTTTTCATCAACGACTGTGTCAGGGATCTAGACTGTGATGTCACCTTCTTCGCTGATGGCATCAAATTATGGAAAGTTGTCCAAAATACGGCAGATGGAAACCATCTGCAAGCTAACTTGAACAGATTGGAGGACTGGCCAAAGCATTGGCTTATGCCTTTCAATGTTAGTAAATGCAACTTTCCTCAAATCGGCAGTTGTAGAGCATCCAGTCGGAAGGTATATTTCTTAAACGGTACACCGCTGCAACAAGCCGAGACTCAGAAGGACTTTAGTGTGTGGATCACTTCTTCACCCAAACTAACGCTGAACTGTAAGGCGGCCAGATCTACATTACAGTCAACTAGACGAACCTTTATGAGATTTGAAAGACAGTCTTTCCAAAATATTTGGAAGTTTCGTTCGGCCACACCTGTAATTCGCTATGCAGGCATGGAGGCCTTGGACTGTCAAAAACTGTACCGTCTTGGCAAAGGTTCAGAGACGAGCGACAAAATGGTCAAAGGTCTGTGAACACCGCATTACGAAGAGGCTGTCAACCCTCGACGTATTTTCCCTTTCTTACAGACATCTACGAGGGGAGCTCATACTTACCTTCCGTATTATGAATATACTGGCTTGTTGCTTTGTCCCCGACGATTTCTTTACCCAGGCTAATACGCAAACTTTGCGCGATCAACCCCTTAAACTACGCCCTGGCAAAACAAGGATCGATGGACGAAAATTCTACTTCAGCAACAAAGAAGCTGCGGTGTGGAAGGCCCCTTTTGAAGAGGTTGTCCTCTCCAGCTGCGTTAATTCACTTAAGAACAGATTAGATGCACTAAACACATCAGTCCAAAGCGACCAGGTAACCAACAGGGAGACAAAACAGACACCACATCACATTATACTACTCGGGATAAGCGAGTAGCCATATTTTATTACTATTTATACTACCCAACAACTGCTGTGTCTTCACCCGCAACATGTTCAAGCCGAGTATGCATATGCCCAGAGAAAGAGTTCGAAGGAAATGCAAAGGTCCTTTGGAAGGAGAGAAAAAATCTGTATTTGACAGTTTTCCATAAGCAGATATCATACAAATTGTACAGACAGCAGGCAGCAGGAGCCTGCAAGCGATCATTCAAATTAGCATCCTCAGGCGCGAGAGGACCACATCTTTCCTGATGACTTTTCCTTGCCTGGAAAAAGGACAAAAACAGACAAAACCGTGAGAATTCCACTTAACGTCCGACCTGCCTGCCTTATGTTCGCGAGCTTGCTGCTAATTTAAATTTCACGCGACAACGTAATTTACTTTCACCTGCCGTACTGGGTGGTTATAGCAAAGGCCTACTACTAGACCATCAAGAGGTAACGACACTTCGACCATTGGTTTCGATTGGGTTCGACGTATCAAGAAGAACGGAAATGTGAAGGGGCGCAGGCGGTTGGGATGCTAGAGAGGCCGCAATATGCAAAAGCCATTGCAGCCTGACTCTGCCATTTTACGCAAACACGCACTGAGCTGACTCCATATTCCAAGTTATCCCGCTGGTTGAAAACCTTCCAAGCCACGGATTTTATGGCATCATGATAGCTTTATGCGCGTTAGACAGTCTGTAGCGCGGAAACTGCGCTAAGCCGTCGACCTCACTCTCAAATCCCATTGCTAGGCCCCAGCGCCATCGTTCAAGCAGGAGAGTTCACTGAAGTGAGATGATGCAAACCAGCACTATTTTTTTCACTCGGAGTGACTGTAAGCACTGGAGGTTTATCGGAAGGCACCGTTATCTCCCCTTTGCTATTAACAGTAGCTCTGCACAAGAATATTGTCTCCACGACCACCCTAGATTCGCAGTGCTCATAATGAATATAATGCCGTGGCATTGACAACCTGGGCCGAACAACCACGAAACAGATGGACACCGGGCTCTTTTTTACTAAACAGAAAATGTCTAGGTAACTCTTAGAAAATGCCTATGGTAAAGCATGTTTTAAGTCACTTCCTTACGTCAGTGCTTCAAAAGGGGAAAAACTGAAGCTTCGACACAGATTTGGGTAAGAAACCACCTTATCAATCAAGAAAGCTATGGTATTTAGCAGCTAGATTACGGAAGCAGAATAAAAACTCTCGAAATTTTAAAACGTTGCGGTAGAAACTTTGAAAAAAGGAGTGAACTCAGAGCAAAGACGTACGTTTTTCCTTCTCCATTAAATATTTGTAGGCCGGATGCTTGCGAGGAATCTTCAGCTTCTTCGTCTTCTTCTTCTTTATCCGTCCACTGCGACTGGACTGGGAGACCCCTGCCAACGGCATTGCAGCTCGACTACCCGCCTCGTCCACCTCTCCTTCTTCGACTTCCTCCTCCTCAGCCTCATCATCCGTCACCTGGTGGATGAGTTCGTCGAATTCCTCCTCTTCCTCCACCCCGTCGGCCTCTGGCACCTGCTGTTCCTCTCCGGAAACATCGACATCATCCTGGCCGTCAGCAGTCTCAGTGGGAAGTTTACCAGCTTTGCGCATACCCTCAAGGCAACTCTGTCGATGCTGGGCCTTAGCAGCCTCGTGCTCCTGTCGACGCTGTTCCTGGAAGGTCTTGCGGGCAGTCTTTTCAGCCTCCTTCTGCTGACGCTGCTGTATCTGCACAGTCTCCTCGACGGCAGATTTTACCTGCCAGCTGTGGTAGAGCACGCTGCCCGAGTTGACGCCTTCTTCAATCTACCGAAAACCAATTTAAGTAAAATTAACCAGTTACTATAACTATTTAAGTAGTTAGGCTATAACAGCTACATTTATTTGCAGACTGATGTTAATTGTCCCGTCACATAAAATCAAACAGAGTGACAACGAGAACGCCATGGGGGTGGCTGGCCTAGTGTCGACCTCACTCTATTTTCACTTTCCCATACATCAGTCGACTGCGCCACTTTGTCAAACAGTTGGTGGTGCGATTGGACACGGTTGTTGGCAAACTCAAGCAGCACATCTACCGGGGTGCCAAATACACCACTTGGTGTTCACTTTAGATGCACAATGTAATCGCTCGATATTCCAGCATTTGCACACTAGAACAGAAACACCAGACGGCGGACCTTGCCTGCTAGTTTAACAGCAGACTGCCCAAGTAAGTCACAGCTGGCGGAACAGCAAGCATTAAAGCTTTGCTGCAAAACGGGTCTCGTCAGCCATTGCCATTCTGTAAAAATTTCAATTGTTCTATGCTTCCATTCGTTAGCTAAATAACGCAAAGACAGGATGCAGTTGAAAGGCCGTCGCGAAATCTATTGGACCCAATAGATCCTGCCACCTTTGCTTGATTTAAACTCATAATAATTTCAAACCCGCTTAAAACTACACCTAGCCATCATCGCTGACGCGTGCGCCTCCTGGTACATGACAGCTAACTAAATAAGGTTCATGTGAGTATCTGGCTTCGAGAGATTTCCGGCCTGTTCTTGAAAATGTTATCACCTCCTACGGTGGACCATCAATTTCGATGAGGTCCATCGTGTGCCCACAGAGTGGCGGGCGCAACAATAATGACTACAATGTGAATTACTTTGTAGAGGTTGTGGACTTCTACTGCATCTACCACAGCCGAAGTCGAGGTAAAAGCAGCCATGGAGTGCGTATTTTACTTTCACTCGGGTT